TTTATATATGTTGTGAATAATTCTGAGAAAAAAAAGTTTTTTTTGAAAAAATCCCTGTACTCCCCCTCAGGGATGGTCTGGTCAAAAATCACAATTTTTTCGATAACTCAGCCATTTCTTGCCGGATCCTTCTCATCTTCGAACTCGACCGAGATATTGTCAAGACTAAGCTGTGTAGAAAATTTCATCGCAATCTGACTTTCCTTTCGAAAGTTATCGTGTAAACGGCCGGACGGCCGGACGGACACACAGACCGATTTTAGTAGTGTACTCACTTTTTGAGTACACAAAAAGTGGTCGAAGTAAATCATCAAGAAATTTAGATATTTTAACTGTTGAATGTTTTAAGCCTAAGACTATTGGACGAATAGGAGTATCTTGTTTATGGGCCTTTGGTAAATAATACAAATGAGCTAATTCAACTTCATTTGGATTAATGCATAATTGTTCATATTGTTTTTGAGTAATCCATTTAGCTAACCGAAGATGTAATAGATATCCATTTGTTCTTTGGATTAAATCTGGTAATGGATCTTCCTTTCCAAGACATTTATATGCTTGAGTTTTCTTCATATATTCGTCAGATTTTTTCTTATATTCTTCAGATTTACCTAAATGGAATACTTTAGGTTTATCCGATTTTCTTAAAATAGTATTAGCAATTTTCATTCTATATTTTAATCTTTTAATTAAACGATGATAATTTTTCTTTTTAAGTGAATTTTTTGGTAAATTTCTCTTTTTATTTTGTGATTGGGATAACTGATTTTCTATTATTTGATCAATATTTATATCATGTGCAGTTCTTGGAATAATATTTTTAGTTTGTCTTGATATTGGTACATTATATAGTTTCTGAAGAAGAACATCTAGTTCAGCAATAAATTGTTCAACTGGACGACCAGGATTAATACCCTTTTCTGAAAAACGTGTTTCTATTTTACGTTTAAAGGTCGCTAATTCAGTTGTACGTCTTCTTGATGCTGTTTTTGGATCACCAAATATAAATCTTGGACCTAATCGAAGTAATTCATGTTCTTCTTCAGATAATTGAATATTTCCTTGATTTATTATTCCTGGTGCAAGCGAAAATTGTCGCCCAGGTTTCGAATTATAGTTGAGATGTTGATATTTTCGTTTCTTTTGTCTATATCGCTCTCGACTAGCTTTGCTGATAAAAAATGAATTGATTGTTCAGCTTCTAAATTTAATCTTTTTGAACATATGTCATCCTAATGTTTAAAAGCTGCATAATCAGGTTCAGCATCAAAGCCTTCGTCATTTTCTTGTGGAAAGCCTTCAATTATACGATCGATTTCTCTTTTTAATAATTCTTGTTCACGAACTGATGATTGTATATATAATGTCATTGCTTTTGTACGAAAATCTTTGGTGATTTCACGCATTTGATTATATATACCTTGAACATCGTCTGGACTAACAATTGATTCATCTACTTTGAATGATAAATCCACTTTTTCAATAAATTTTGGAAGTATATCATATTCAACACGTTTTGTAGCCAGAAGTACATTTTAATTTTTTGTTGCCAAAGCTTTTACTTTTGGTTTTAAGATGATATGAAGATTCGATTGAGCTGGAGTGGCTATTTGTTCGAAATCTTCTAATACTTTAAATTCATCCATTTGAACTTTGGCTAATTTAATACGATTTTCAGCTGATTTCTTAACATGTTGAGTACAATTCTGAATATATTTTAAAATACCTTCTTCAAGTCTGTGTGTTTTATTACGAACACGTTCAGGGGTTGATTCAATATCCATTCAATGTGTGATTTCTGTGGACGCTTGTTTTAAGAAAACTCGAATACCAGCGACTAAATCTTGCCACGCTTACATTTTTAGCACAATTTTCATTGTTAAATAAGGATATTTTGGGGTTTCACCCAGTTCTTTTTCAATTGAATATTGCTCTTATGTTATTATAGAAAATAAATAGAGTTCCAATACAAAAACAGGCTTATGATGGCTATATTGGTAATTCGACCTAATTAACTCTAAATAACTCTAAATATGAGACTTAATTTAGAAGAAGAAGAAGAAGAGCAATACATAGTTTAGCGTACTCTACTAATAAGAGCTGAATGCATTGAAATTCTGCAAGACTATAACAAGCGAACTCTACATCTTTCTCAACTAAATATAACTGCATTGAAAGCACTAGCGAATTCTACATCTTCCTGAATCAAAGTATAGAAATTGCATGAAAAACAAGAGCAAACTCTACATCTTCCTAAACCTACAGATAGAAATTGTATAGAAAAAGAAAACAATGAATTCTATGAATTTTAAGTATTCAAAACGAAAGTGAAACTTTGATTATTACTAAAATTATTAGCAGTAAATTTTATAATTTGAAAAAGGATTTAAAATTTTCGAATATTTAACTTAATTTTTTCAGTTGAAATATATTTTTCAATAATTAGCTGAATGAAAATGTGAAACATTGAGTTGCTACTATTTGTATAATTTCGATTGAAGAATAAAATGAAATCGAATTTCATGATTTTAGAATTTTCGATTTCATGTTCGCAAATGAGAGGATACCCCTAGAACACATGATCGTAACAATGAAACAGTATATCAGGAGCACTTGATGCGCACAGAAACTACTATAGATCATACGGCTTCGGGTGTACTTCAATAAAAAGCAACTAGAATTCTATCTTTCAAAAGCTTCCTAGTTATTCGAGTTACTTTCGCCAAGTAACTAACGAGGGAACATATTTGAGCGTCCTTTATGAGAGCAAGTTTAAAACCATTCTATTCGGTAGAGACCTTCACGAATATCTCTAATATCAATGCCTTAGCTGCTTTCGTTTACATTTACAAAAGTTAGATAATAAAAATTTTTTATTTTTATGACCTTTTCTGCTATCATAGCTGTACTATTTTTTTTTACTTGTATAAGATTTTCAAGAATGGTCAATAATATAATAGTAGAAGCGTCGAAAATCAACAGAATCCGAGATGAAAGAGAAGCTTATCTGTTACAAATAGCAGAACTACATCTCTACTTTTTGGCCACATACCCATCGGAATATCAGACCTGAAGTAGCGTGTAATAATTTCACGTGCAAAAGTCTACTTTCCTCCCTTAGCCGTCAATCCAGAATAATTATTTGTATAAGTCAGCTGGCAGGAATCATTACACTTTCCACATGTATTTCAATTATTCCAAGTAAAATCAAACAACATTATACGAGCAAAATTTTTCGATTCTTTCTCATTTTTTCTGCGTCATTATATTTTATCCTATAAAATGTATATAGTATTAAAATACGTATTACTTTTGTATAAAACTGCGTAAGATGACTTCCATTAGATGTTAGAGATGCTTTAAGCGGCTGCTTCTTTAGGGTCGCTATACGGAATTCCGTAAGTATATCAATTTTCAACCGTATATCGCCGCTTCTGGACTTATTTGTTTGACGCAGGACGATAGAGTTATTTCTGACAATGAAAGTGCAAATGCTTCTGGTGACAATGTGTGTTAAAAACAATAAGAAAACGTTTCGAAACACAGATGTTGCCATTATTTGTGACTGATAAATGTCTTTTTCGTGTCAGATTCTGCTGATTTTCGACGATTCTAATATTATATTATTGACCATTCTTGCAAATATTATACAAGTAAAAAAATGGTACAGCTGTGATATCAGAAAAGGACATAAAAATGAAAATGTTTTATTCTCTAACTTTGTAAATGTAAACGAAAGCAGCTAAGGCATTGATATTAGAGATATTCGTAAAGATATTTACTGAACACAATGGTTTTAAATTTGTTCTCAGAGAAAGTACTCAAATACGTTTTTTCGTAAGTAACTAAATAGTCACGTACAATGCGAAAGATCATGCTGACAAGCGAATTGATTGATCTGGTCTGAGTCAAATGATCAGTTTCACCGAGAAACGAACGAATTTAAGATATGACTTGTTGCTAGCGTGTCAAGATAGAAATCCTTGAATTTGAAAGTATATGAAATTTAGATAAAAAATGAATCAGGAGAGGTTTTTTTTCACTACTGTATTAGGAAAACATAGTGCTGTTGAGACCGATTATCAGATTTGGAAGGATCCTCTTTCATATGCCCCGAACAACACCGTGTTTTGTCCTTATAATACTAGAGTGAATTGTTTTGGTGACTCGTAGAAAACTGTGTTTTCCATGAGCTACAGAAAACTTCACTCTACTGTTAGTTATAAGGACAAAACATGGCGCTATTGAAGCCAATCTGGAGTTTATCAAGGATGCTCTTTCTTATGGCCTGAATAACACTATGTTCCGTCCTTATAAAAGTGGAGTTAAGCTTTTCTGTAGCTCATAGAAAACACAGTTTTCTATGAATCACCAAAACAATTCACTCTAATATTATAAGGACAAAACATGATGTTGTTCGGGGCATATGAAAGAGGATCCCTCCAAATCTGATAATTGGTCCCAACAGCACTATGTTTTGCCAATACAATAGTGAATAAAACCTCTGCTGATTCATTTTTATACCTAAATTTCGTATACCTTCAGATTCAAGGATCTCTATCTAAACTAGACATCGGCGTGACCAATGTTTTTTGATCATGGTCACATCTGTTATCACCAAGACGAGTTCATGATGCAAATGAATTACACAATAATTCACAATTTTTATATTATATGTATATATATAAATATAATAAGTTTATTAATATCTACCAGGGTCTACTAGGGTCTACCGGAATTTCGTGGTATCCACATCGAGAGAGATGTGATATGAGTAGTTTCGTGGCACCCACACCGAAACCCTGCTAGATCCTGGTGAACCCTGGTAGACCCTGATAGATATTAATAAACTTACTACAATTATACATATACTTCTTTAAATAAATATATATATATATTATAAAAATTTTGAATTACTTTGTAATTCATTTGTGTCACCCAGAGACCAAGACCGTGACCCTGAATCACGGTAGCCACGCTAATCTTTAAACAAACGGCTATTTTCTTTTTTCTCAAAATAGCACATACTTCTTTTGCGATAGGAAGACCCTTTGGGAGAAATATGTATGAGATTTAGTATAAAACCTCATTCAATTATCGAATTTTTCGAAATATGACAACTTCAAGCACTGGATTTATACTATAGTATGCTTAGTTTCCAAAGTTTTGAGCTGAAAATCTTAACTATGTGTTTTCAACATTTCATCTAGACTTTTAAAATCCGAAAATTCCTTCTCAAGGCATCGAAATCGCTTGGGCTTCCTGAAGAATTTTTTTTATGAAATCTGTAAAAACAAAAGAGATATAACTCAAGACCCTCTGGAAAAGTTTTGTGATTGGGCACAATAGAAAACCTCGGATTTCCTCGTGCGGAAAGGTGAAAAACAATATAACAGATGGAGAGAAAAGATTAGGTATGAAAAAACTGATGAATTTGTTTTTGACAAAATCTCTTAAAGTTCTTGAAAGTTTATTTGACCAAAGCTTGAATAGAAATGAGTGAAATCAGAACAAGCGGAGAAATAATCAATCGGCGAATAAGTCATCTGATAAAACTCAAAAAAGTCGAAAATATATGAAAATGACAATTCTTATTCAAATAAGTCATAGTATTTTTTAATGCTACATTTTTTTCTAAACTATTTCTATGTCAGCTGTTGAAAATATATTAGTACTGAGAATATTTTTTCTACTATCGCGATTGTATTGATTCTATTCCTTCGTTTTGAGTTAGCATAATTAGAAAAGGATATTGATACATATTGCAAGAATACTAAATATAATATTAAAATCCCTGGTAAAGTTTGAAAGTTTGTCGTGACTGGTCGTGAACAGGTTTTGGTCACGCCGATGTCTAATCTAGTAACGCCAGCAGTAAGTCATCTTTAAAATTCGTTAGTGCCTCGGTGAAACTGATCATTTGACTCGAATACGATCAATCAATTTGCTTCTCTGTACAAACTCTTTGATTGTTAGTTACCAATAACTGAAATGACTTATTAGCTACTAATGTCGGCGGCAGAAATAAGTTGGTAAAACTCTGAGAGAAATATCTCATGGATGAATGTTGCTAGTGACGTGCGTTTTTCATCATTAGAAAGAAAAGACCCAGTTCCATCAACACATGGTAAAATATAGTTGGTCAGCAATGGACTTATCATATGTTTTCTCAACGAACATATTGAGTACGATATTCTGTAGATGTCTCCCAACTTTGCTGAATTCTTACTTTACGGTTTTGATAGAGAAAAACTTTTTCTTTCGATCTACGAATAACCCGCCTTTCTAGCTTGCTCCGTTTAAGATTTATAAGAGTTTTCCTGAGATCCTTGATTTCAGCCAACTGACCTTGGATCACCCAGATATTGGTCTGGGATGGGGTAATTCATTATGCTGAGTTGGATAGTGATATTCGTTTTCGGATTCGAAATCAGCCTACAATGTTATCTTAATATTTCCGGAATGTGGACTTGTGGGATGCGTAGCGGTAAGTACCAAGAAATTGAAGAAGTGTATAAAAAGCATTGTAAACTGATTTCGAATACAAAAAAATAAACATCACCATTCGACTCAGCATGATGAATTACCATATCCCAGACTGTTTCCTAGGTGATCCAACGTCATTTCGCTGAAATCAGGGTCTCAGGAAAACTCGTATAACTCTTGAACCGAGCAAGCTAGAAGGTCAGTTTTTTTGTAGATCAAAAGAGAACAATTTTTCGTAAATTAAGATTTCAGCAAAGTTCAGAAACAGCTCTAGAATATCGTGCTCAACATGTTCGTT